GATCCGCACCGAGTGGTCGGACCGCACCGTGCTCTACCTGCACCGCAGCTTCGCCGACCTGGGCCGCCTGTGGAAGCGCCTGCGGGACGCGTTCCCCGAGGACCGGCCGGAGCTGGCACGCGCGCCGCTGCGCCAAGGTGCGGGGGCGCGGGCTGCGGGCGGCGCCGCGGGTGGGGCTCAGTGGGGAGCGAGGCTGGGAGGTCGTTTTAAAGTGCAGGAAGGGAGCGGGGAAGTTACTTCAACCGAGATTGCGGCTTCCCTCCGTCCCGGCACGGACAGGGGACACTTCGACCCTCCGCCCCCAGGCGAAGGGCTCCCAGAGTGGCCGTGGTAAGGGACAGGGAGTCGCTCGTGGAGCCCCGCAGCCTTCCCGGCCTGGATACCAGAATAGGTATCCTGACCGTCACCGCGGGCTGGTCACTGAGCAGTACCAGCGCGGCGGCTGGTGTCGGGGTGGCCCCGCGGCCCCTCGGTCTCAGCGCCTGCCCCGGACGAGTGGTCGCCGCCGTCCCCACTCTCGGGAAGGCCAGCTGCGACCCCGCCCGCCCAGGGGGCGGCAGTAGGGTGCTAGGGGGACCCATGGGAAGAGCTGACAGTGTCCAGTTGGGGGTTGCGTCCCGTCTGGCACCCCTCAGACTCCTCCCCCGGAAAGGCCGCGCCTCTTGACTTCGCTGACAGAGGAGCCGGAGTGCGTGTTGCCACGCAGCCCTCTGTCACCGCTGGGGAGGGGCAGCCCCACGGGCAGCTGCAGAGGAAAGCTCGGGCCCCCACCCCAGGGGTGGGTCCACATTTGCTTTTGATTAACTGTGGCGGCCTCCTCCCTCGCCTTGTGACTGGTCCTGGCTCCTGGGGCTGGAGTTTTCAGAGATCTGCTGTGGCTTCCCATTTCCAACTGCCTGGCTGTCGCCCTTCCCACTGGCTGCCCTTTGGAGGCCAGGCGGGGAGGAGGTGGAAGGAGGAGGAAGGGTCAGAGAAGCTAAAATTGAGATGGGAAGGATTGAAGAAGAGGAGAAGGGGCCAGGACAGTCTGCAGGGCTCTGAGCCACCTCACTTCCCTTATATCCGCGCCCCCATGACCACCTGCAGTGAGGTGACACCCGGAAGCCTGCCTTTCTGAACTCCCCTAAGCAGAGACTGGGCGGCACTTTGGGGGCAGTTATGGAAGCTGAGGGTGGCCGGGACAAATCTCCTTAGCTGCTGTCTACCTGAGGACTTAGGATAACCTTTCCTTACACCCCTGGCCATCCCCCCTCCCACCCCAGAGTGTGACTTATATGTCTCATGAGCTCAGTTCCCATGACACATCCTCGGCAGACGCGTCATTTTGGAAAGGCTCCACAAGCCGGTGAGTCTGGAGGCCCTGAGCGAGACAGCTTGCCTTGCAGGCTTCTCTTTGCTCCCCCGATTCCCACATTTATAGCCACTCTGGAGCTAGTTTAGGATTATTTTAAGCATGCAAACAGTTTTCCTTGGGCTTGCTATTTGGGTGTGTGTTATTATATTTTTAAATTCAAATGAATGCCCAAATCAGGAAAGCTTAGTTGAATGTTCTCCTTTCTGGAACAAGGTGAATGAACTGGGGCCCCGAAGGGCCTTCAGAGCGCCTGCCTTCCCCTCTGCCCTCCAGGTCTCACTCGCCAGGTGGCCCAGCTCAGCCGTGACCCTGGGCACCCTGTTTGGTTCCTCCTCTGTAACATAGTACCTGTTGCTCGCTTTTTGTATGTGAGGATTAAAATGCAGAGTGGAGTGTCTAGCAGTAGGAAGCCCAGCATTAATGCTAGTTCCCCTCCGAACCCACTGCTTCTGGTGAGACTCTGTAGATGGTGGTGGGAGGAGAGCGTGGCATTGGCTGCCCTGGGACGCGGTAGTGAAAAGTCTTACCTGGAGCAAAAGGGAGGTGAGTGTGAGGCCTTGGCCTGCCCCGCACCGCACATGCCCCTGGCTCTGTGCCTTGTGTGTGCATTTGAGTTGTGCGGGGCCAGTTTAGGTTCCTAAGGTGTAGACACACAGTGAGTACCTCTGAAGAGTGGGCCGCTTACAAGTGAAGAAAGGTTTAGGGTTATGGGGAGAAAAGTAGACTTGAAAAGGATATGATAGGCCGTGGCTGGTGTGCTCGATGGTTAGAGCGTCAGCTCATGCACCAAAGGGTCATGGGTTTGATTCCCAGTCAGGGGCACATACCTGGGTTGCAGCTTTATTCCCGATCCGGTCAGGGCATGTGCAGGAGGCATCCAGTAGATGTGTCTCTCTCACATCAATGTTTCTCTCTCCTCCTTCTACTTTCTAAAAATTAATGGAAAAAATAACCTTGGATGAGGATTAACAAAAAAGAAAAGAAAGGATATGATAGGTACTTTCAATTATCTGAAGGGGGAGAAAATTCAAATGAGGTATTAGCCATGGGGGTGGTCATGGTGGTAGGGGCAGTGGGGGTGGTGAGGATGAGGACCAGCGGCTGGGTGAAAGGACTCTACAACAGCCCACCGTGGAACTGTTGGGACCTTTGGCTGGATTCCTGGCTCGGCAACCCATGGGACAGAGGAGTGATGGCCTTAATTCTCCATCTAGTCCTTGATTCTCTGAAGGGAGGCAAGCTGGTCCCTCCCCCAGCACCACTTGAGTTTTGTACAATCCGAAGGGAAGTCCTTTTCCTTTTCAGAACTGTTTAAGTCCAGGGAAATAATTTTCTTAGTAAAATACATTCCAGTAATGTAAAAGAAGAGTCCACCTCATTTCCATGTGCCAGGTATCATCCTAGGTGCTAGGGACATGGTAGTGAACAAAAAAGACACCCCCCTCCCCCCAAAAAACAACCAAAAATCCCTGCCCTCATGATTCTTATATTCTGGCTGGGAGAAACCTAGTAATAAACAAGACAACTGAAAAATATGTTAGTGATAAATGTTCAGAAGATAAAAAACAAGTAAGCAAGGAAAAGAGCTATTGCTTATGGGGGCAGGGGAGGTAGGATGGTCCCAAGGTCTGAAAGGAAGTGACCTTTGAGTAGAGATCTGAAGGAAGGGAGGGAGCCAGGCCGTATCACTACCTGGGGAAGAAAGAGGAACAAGTGCAAAGGTCCTGAGGCCTGCACGTGCCTGGTGACTTTGAGTAGTGAGAGGCCATTGTGGCCGGAGTGGAGAGGGTAGTCGGAGAAGATTGGGGAGATAGAGAGTGGGCAGATCGCACTCAGATTTGGCTTCTTACTCCGAGATGGAGAGCTTTGAGCAAGTGACTTGATCGAACACACGCTCCAGCTGCTGTGCTGAAATGACTCGGGAAGGAAGGGAGGCTGCTCGAGCTGCTGGGACATTGCGGCGGGTGTAGCAGAGCAGATGTGAGACATGGCCATGCACTGATATGTCTGGGACGGAAGAGCACAGCGTTGACTGAGAGACCAAACGTGGGTGTGAAGGAGCATCAGGCTCACAGCCAAGCTTTCAGCCTGAGAAACGGAATTGCCACTCACTGAGATGGGAAGCCTGCAGGAGCCGGGGTAGGGCTCCAGCTTTGAGTGTATTTCAGCATGTTCTCCAGATAAGCCCCCTCATTGGGAGCCTGAGGGGCACAGGTGCACATGTCTGTTCACCTTATCACTGAAGATATTAACCTACCTGCAACCTCATGGACTGTCTGTGCTTAGATTTGAGGTCTGAGGGATGGGAGTTACGGTATCTAGGGTATTATCAGGATACACCTACCAGCCTCACACACCCTGATAGCTTAAGGAAAATGTGTCCTCTGCTCCCGGGCCCTGCGCCTGTCCTGTGGGCAGAGAGGGAAGCAGCTCAGCGCTGCCCCGACCAGCTGGGAGAACGCCACCTGCTGGATGGGATGGACTGCAGAGTCTCCGAGTTTACGTTCTAAGAGGCTGAAGAAAGTGCCAGCCACCTGGGCCCTGGGCAGCAGAGCAGCGGCACAAAGGCCTTCCTTGCCCGGCCAGATGTGTGCTCAGTGAGCCTGCCCCTCGCCTGTGTCTCAGCTCCCACCCCCATGCATAGCCTCACCTCAGGGTGCCCTGCCCCTCCTAACGGGCAGTTTTCACTTCTGGGGGTTCGGGGTGTCCTTTCAGGTTCACAGGCCAATTTTGAGTTTCTTCCATGTGTAGTGCTTCTGGACTGGGTGCTTTCCCAGGACCCCGGCAGCATGGCCGCATGCTCTGCCACCCGTCCTGGCTGGGACTGTCCATCTCCATGCCTCCTGCTCTTCCTTTACCTATCTTTCCCAAGTCCACACCCTGCTACTGCCCAGAGTGCCGGCGCTCCTGGTGTCTGGTCCGGTCTCTGCAAGTGGCCACGTGGCTGAGTTTGGTTCATGGTCCTGTGATCTCATCCCAAGAGAGCTCACTGTGCTGTGGGCACAGGTGACCCGAGCTAACTCTCAGCTAGAGAAGGAGCTGACATGGTGCTTTCCACCAAATTTCAGAGGAGAAACTCAGTTCTGCTTCTCAGATCAGAACTCACTGTGGCATCCTGGCTGCCCTCAGGGACATGAATCCCCTTCCCTTCTTAAAACAAGTCTAGGCCTCACCTTTCTCTGCTGTCTCTTTTAAACAACCCTTTTCCAAAAGGTGAAAGATACGCCTGCATTGTGGACAGTGACAGTCCGGGAAGATTCAGAGTACCAGGCAGAGCTAATAAGCAGTGGGCACTGGGTCAGCTTGCCTCCTCTGGCTGAAGCCCAGCTTGGAGTTGCATCATGCTCATGGGATTCAGGAGTCAGAGAGGCTGAGGCTGAGTGGTGAGTTATGACCCCGACGTGCATTTGACCCCCGTGGCACAGTCCTGCGGGCGGGTGTCCTGTGGGAGATCTGAGCTCTGGGCAGTAAATGGGACAGTATGTTGTTATCGGTGGTTGGCATTGCCTGCTCACTGAAATACAGTTTTTATTGGTATTTTTGTTCACTTTTACTTTCTTGGGTGACAGTCAGCATCCACCGGTCACCCCCAGTTGTCACCACTAAAAAGATGGTCCCCTTGTCCCGGAACCTAGAAGCCCCAGAGCCCCGTAGTCGGAAACCTCTCCTTGGTGGGAAGGCCAGGGAGCCTGAGGGTTAGGGTCTGCTCTCCGTTCCGCCTGGGCCTGCTGTGGCCTCCCTGCGATGACATGATGGCAGCCCAGGTGTCCCCTTGGTGCTCAC